AAAAAGAGAAGAAAGTAAGAATAACCTGCAAGGTTCGGAAAAATCACCTGGTGTTGGAACAAAATTAGTTAGAGCTACTTAAGCCCATACACTATAAGAAACAGAGTGTGTTGGGTCAAAAAGCACAGTTGTGGAAAATAAAATGTCATCAAAAGCTAAAACAGCCAAGATGAAACACAGAAAGCTCCACAGATAAAGATAAGGTTTTTTTTTCTGTGTTGTTTTAAATACCACAGTCAAACTACTCCATTCAAATGTTTAAATAAAATCCAGTGACGACAAGCAAATCCTAGTCTGTTTAAAAGTTTTCCAGCTCCAAACATCTGCAACACGTAATTTCTCCCTGCCAACTCTAAACCTTCAGGTGTGGGAGGAAACCCCCCATTCTGAGTGTGACTTCATGCTACAGGAATGCCAGAGGTAAAATGAGGTACAGTCTGATCCGTAGCATGACAGGGGGAATATTGTGTAAAACGAACTGAGCTCAGCATGGAGACTTCTGAAAGAGATTGAGAGACTTTCAGTCTGTCGAGGCAGGGCCAGCGTTTCATCCCAACCGGGTACCGGAAATGCCTGTCCTACAGACTTTATGTCAGCATCATAAAACAACCTTCTTGCTTCCCGGACTGTAAACCTTGCTAAAGCATTTTTTTGTACTCTCCTCTATCTCTGTATAGGCTGAATGCCAGTTGCACCCTTTTACACAGTGACAACACGAAGGGTAAACATTTGAGCATGTCATGTTTTAACCTTCTAGCCTATTACTGTAGGTATCTGGAGATCAGCATTATAGGACAATGACCGCCAAGAAGTTTGGACAATTGCAGGAAAATATCTGGAAGTCAGAGAGATAATTTTACTCTGTGGGCAATTAAGTCAACATGAAATGTAACAAACTCCACCCATCTGGTCCTCCTTCACAGTTAATACAAACAGTTTGTAAATGCAGCTCTGTGCGTGTCAAGTCAGTACATAGGGAAGACAGATGACTCCAAAGGAAGTCGGCTATGGCTCATCTGGTGACCATTGCTTGACCTGCCCTGACCGTCTGAGGGTCAAGTTTTTTCTGGTTCATACTCAGCTTAGCGCAGAAATCTTGTGTTTTTTTGGCTGCTAAAAACACAGTAAAGTCTGCTAAGATATCCAGAGAGAGGATAACCATTTTAAAAAGGAGGACTCCACATTAATACTTGGCTGCCAAAAGGAAAAGGGTGTCAAGGAGGTTACAGAAATCTAAGATAAGGCATCTAGTCAGAAATAGCACAAGCATAACGTCAGACTTCCTTTTACAATCTAAAAAAATATATATACAAATTGTTTGACATAAGCCTACAGAGATAAAATGACATCTGATGACCATTAGATGCAACATAAAAGACATTCCCTTTTTATATTAATAGTTGCATGACTTTTAGATGCAGTATAGTATATATTAATAGTTTCTGTATCCTGAGAATGCTGCTTTTTTCCCCCTGTATTTTGCCAGAGGGTTTGAGCATTCTAAAGGTACAAGAGGTAGAGGTAAGGTCAGGCACAAGAACCCGATAGAACATTAGCATCTTAAAATAAAGCCTGGAGGATTTGAAATCTAAAACAAATTTAAAAGATTACAAGAAACTCTAACTCCTTAGAAGAACATTATGAAGAGAATATGTGCTTTGTGAAAACCAGCAGTATAATGCAGGCACTATAAGCCTGTAACCTGGTGGTAATGCAGTAAATACACATACAAAAAGCTGCAACATTAATTAATGGTGCAGCTTTTTGTATGTGTACATCATGAAAATGCTGCTTATAGCAGACAATAATACTAATCAATAATATATCACTATAGATACTATCAATAAATATAGAAAAACCTTTGTTTGATTTACTAAGAGTAAAACATTAACCCAACCCACCCCATATAAATGCCCCCATATAAAATCCTGAATTGTGATTACCAGTTTGTTTGTTTTTTAAGAACTATGAAGTTCACTAATTACACACTGACTAAATACTCTGTCAGCACATAATTAGTGAAATGAGAAACCTCTTAACTACAACCTGTATGACAGCTGGAATTAGGCTAAAACTTCTCAAAAAGCAACATATAATGCCATGGCTTATGAACATTGAGTTATTTCTGAGAGTCTGTGACTCCAGCAAACAGAAGTGTAGAGTATTATTGTCTAAAATATAGAAACCAGGTTAGACTGCTCAGCCCTGTCCCCAAGTTACCAACCGGCTAGTTTTACTCCAAGAGCACATTGAAGACAGGAGGCCCCAGGAGAACCCAGAACAACATACAAAGCCCTGCAGACATAATCCACACCATTCAAGGTCAGTGTTATGATTCTACTTTTCAGAAATTGCCTCCAAGTAAGAACTTATAAGTTATAAGAACCACACATCATACCAATAGTCAAACCTGGTGGCTGAAATATAATGTTTAGGAGCCATTACTGTAGCTACTTTGGGACCTGCATGACTTTCCGTAAGAGACTAAACCATGAGTCCTGTGCGCTTATATTGTGCTGAAGGACAGACATTTAAAGCAAATGGTCAAGCCAGTTTTCAAGGGTTTAAAAAAAAAAAAAAATGAAAATAAAAAATCCAGTCGAGGTCTGAACTGGAATCCAATTAAGATACTGTGATGCAATCTTAGACATGTTGTGACAATTGTGACTGAATTTAAACAGTCCTATAAATAGCTGAGGGCCAAGACTCCTCCACAGCTACAGTAAATGAAAAAAAGACTATTCAAGTTTTTGCAAACGCATCAGCTTCTTGAATTTAGAGGAATGTCCTCTTTCACAGAAATCCAAGCTGGCTTGGATAGTTTTTCCATAAAAAATGAAATGATCACTAAAAACCTTATCTCAATGTGATATTTAAAAATAGTTTAAATGAAACAATTTAGCTGTAAAAACAGAAAAAAACAAGGAATTAAAGGGGGGAAGTACTTTCACACAAAACTCAGTATAAATAACTCATGGGGAGAAGAAGATATGACCAAAAAAATGTAGTAATAAATTCCCAAACTGAAACATAACATATCATGTCACTGAGGGGATATTGCAACGTGAGATAAAGTAGACAGGATTTACGATTCGCCAAAAAAAGTTCACTGCCCCAGAGAATCCTGTAATAAAGAGCATATTTAGCCTGTGCTCTCTGAACGGCTCTGTGTTTCCGCCTGAGGTGGTAAAGTTCATTCTGCTCCCTCACTTCTGCCAAGAATCTACTAAGCAAAGCAATCTGCCCTCATTAGAAAGAACAAGCCATTAGAGCACAAGGTCAGGCTGTGTCCCCGTCTAGACACATTCAAACTTTATAACTGGATACCCCATCTCTTGAGAAGCCCAGAGGCCAGGTATTAACACCTTTCCACCATTGAGCGAGTAGCTTACTCTATTCATAACAGGTTGGTTTCTACATCAGAGTATGGTTCAAGAGAGTAAACTAAATGTAGGAAAGGGTTACGGATCATAGAACTGGATAATTTTACAGTACTGTAAGTTATAATTCAATTTCAGAGGAATAGTCTGTATCTTCCAGGAAAGCAACCTGTAAGCTCCAGAACAAATATCCCATTGGTTTGCACAAGTAACCTGTAGGTTTCATAAAAAGCAAACTGTAACCTGCAGAAAGTAAACATTCAATTCATCATAAACTATATGTTATGTGGCTGTAAGCATTTGGAGAAGCTACTTGTATATTACAAAAATGTAAACTATGCGTTCAAGGAAAGTAACTGATAGGATAATGGGGGTAAAATACCCAAGCAGAAATAAATACACAATTAAATGCAATAAAATGTAATGAAAACAATGTAAAAAATAAGTAAAATACAGAAAATAAAGAGAAAACATAAAATCAACAGACATTTACATCCTGAATATGAAAAAGTTTGGAAACCCTAGAGGTTTGCAAACTCTAGAGTTTGGAACCAGCTACAGAACAGGCACAGCCCCCTCTGAGCTTACGCCTCGTCCATAGTGTTCCCTTTTAGTTCAATGACACTGTAAAACTGGGAGGAACCTGTAAAGCCTAGTTAAAAAGCTTCAGAAAAAGTAATCTGCAGGTTCTGCAAATTAAAACGGATAGGAAGTACCCTTCAGGGTTAGGAGGATAACCTTTAATACCACTAAATGTATCCTGTATGATCCCTTATCAAGTTTCCAAATGTACCCTTTAAGTTTTAAAACAGTGTTTATAAAAATGACAGAAGATGACCTTTCACATCCAGGGGAAGTAAACTGTATATCTAAGAAGAATACCCTTCTTGTTTCAGAGGGGGGCCTATAATATCTAGAGAAACAGCAAAAGCAAAGTGTAAGATTCAGAGGCTGAAGCCTACAGTATAGCTCTTTTAAAAGTTGCACGAAAGGTAACCTATCAGATCCATTAACTTATGTGTTACAGGAAGTGGCCTTTATGTATTCAAAGTACTTTGCAGGTAGATTGCAGCTTAAGAGTCCCAGGAAAATAACCAGCAAATTCTTTAAAGGGGTCTAAAAGTCACAAAAAGTTGTAGAAACTATATGATAATAATGGGCATATTTTAAAAAAACAACTTTTTTTTTAAACTCTTTTTCGCTTCAGGCTGTTGAAAAGCTCCACCCTCTTTACGGACACCACATCAGTTGCTTAGGTCAGAGTTCAGACAGAAACTGGTTTGCAGGATTAATGGGACACATATGTCTGACATGAACAAGTATGTGGCAAAACTGCAGATTTCCACCGGGGGCACTAACCACCAATATCTGGAGTCAGCTTAAACCAAATTAAAACATTAGCTGTACCTTAGCATTACTAGGAAAATGTACAAATAATTGCTATCTGCAGACCAATCAAACTAAGATGCTTTTTTATCTCTCTTTAAAAGCGACAAAAGCAGTCTAAGAACCCTCCATTACTCCGCTCTGTTACTTCCTCTCAGATCCTGAGTTGTGCTTTAATTCTTCTGCACACCATATAACTTAAAGCTTCGGCCACAAAAGCTCCAGTGTACTCACAGTTGAAGTCAGAGGAGATGGAGTTCCCAGCCAGGAGGCTGTTGATGGTAATCTGATAGATGATGTGCAGCAGCAGGAAGGACATACTGGTGAAGCAGAGGGACTGCAGCAGATGACCTGTTTGGCCTAAACAGAAGAATGAGCAGAGTGGGTTCAACACGTTCATGCAACGATGGTTTGAGAACTTTCTCTAAAATTGTTCTCACTATTTCAAAGTTTTTACACAGCAGTTATTGAGGAATGCATTAAAAACCTACAGCTGTTTTCTATTGATATTATGTACCATACACTGAGAAGCTGTTTAAGGGGCAACTGGGAGCGAGCCAAAGGAGACTTTTCTGGGATTACAAAACATATACGGATAGAAAAAGCTGGCACTGCGATCACTGAGCGCAGCTTATTTCTTTAGAAAAGTTAAATAAACATTCTGGTGGACCACAAGGCATTTAAGTCTGAAATTTATTGTCAGAGAAGCAGAACCAGCTTTTATTCACCACCGCTTTTTGGTTCTGGTTTTCGGTGACCGTCTGACGTTGCCGTCTGACGACTTTAAAAACCAAAGGGATTTAGAATGAGTTTACTTCTTCGCCAGTTAATGAAGGTAACAAAAAAAAACAGAGTAGCTGGAGTAGTAGAGCAAAGCTGCCACAGCTGTTCAACACATGGTTACTTTATAGAGCACCTACAGGTATTTGGGATAATTTCAGGATTTGTTGTGGTGATAATTCCCTGACGTAGGACCACTTAACCTCATTTAAAAAAAATGTTTTTTTACATCTATTGATATTTTTTTGACAACTTCCTAAAGAAGTTGAAGCCTGCTGAGTGTTTTCGTGGTTCATCTTCCTAGATTAGACTATCATACATATCTAAACTTTCAGATCTAGTGGTTTATACTCTGGCAAAGTTTTCTTCTCATTAAGTTAAAAGCGTCCACCTGGGGGGCTTTTAGTGTGGTATTGTACAACATCCCCACTAAACTGAGGCACTACCGCCGAGCCCCCAGCTTCTACTAACTGTTTCTATTTATTATTAAAGCCAAGCTTCAACATTTTCAAAGTTAAATTCCCAGATTTCTGAGTCTTTGATTGATGGACAAACAGATTTATGGATGGATGGATGGATGGATGGATGGATGGATGGATGGATGGATGGATGGATGGATGGATGGATGGATGGATGGATGGATGGATGGATGGATGGATGGATGGATGGATGGATGGATGGATGGATGATATGTACAGAACAGTGATAAACTGATAGATCAATGGGCAAATTGAAAGACATGCACATACAGTACAAAAGGATGATTAAGTAGATAGACTTAGATCTATAAATGACAGATAGGATATACCTGGATGGATGGATGATAACAGCAGAATGAATAATGGATGCATGGACAGAAGGAAGAATAAATGGACAGGTGATAAATGGACTGATGGATGGAGGAATTGATGAACAGACTGATGCAACCTTCTATGAAAACGATAAGAAATAAACTGGTTGGAGCAATTGACTAAAAAAGATTTAGACACTAATCATGCAGAAAATAGAACCTGCAAAAGTAAGTGTTCTTCACACATCTGTACAGAAACCCAGTCTTTCAACATGTGAGCAACAACAAGAAGGGTCGTCTTAAAAAAAGAAATCCCAAAACTGAAAGATAAATTCCACGAAAAACAATGATTGTAATAAATATGCATATGGAGGCGTTTTCGTTCATTTCTGTACACAAATCAGCTCCAAGGGCTCTGGGCAAATTTCTGTTGCTTGTTCTCCATCTTTCCTAATAGCAACAGAACTTTTTTTTCTGTTGTTGTATGAAGGCAGTTTTCTGGCTGGCACATTGGTTCCTTACTCAGTCTCCAAACATTCCCATGAGAGGGAGTTTTATAAGCCTTCCTAAACAGAAGGCATTGTTCAAATTTTATAGTTGTTCCTTCTCCATCATCAGATTGCAAATTGCTTAAAATGACAGCGTTCAAAACTAATATATCTACCAATGTTTTCATGCAATTTTTCTCCAATGAAAAAGCCTGTTCCAGACCTAAGAAGGTGGGAAAAATATGCTGTGGGTCTCAGTAAAGTATGACGACAGTGGATATTTAATAAGCCAACGTGGGATAGACGTTAAAGCCAAACTCCAAATGCTGAACCATAAACCTGATAAATAACCCAAAAAAACATAAAATATTCATAGAAATTTATACAGGAGTACTAAAAGGCTTCCCTTGGGGAATCATTCATATTGGTGTCCATTTAACAAGCCACAGGATGCAGAGTGTAAAGGCTCTTAAAACCTTCCTTGCTAATATTAGAGCAATATTTCACATTTTTCTCCAATGGAAATTAAATGCCTTCAAGCCAAATACCACAGTTTAAACTAGAGTTAAAACCCAAACAAGTCGCAAACCGACACATCCTGTTAGGCAAAGTGCACTTTTCTGAGTTTTTAAAAGACATTACAGCTTAATTAATTATTTATGACAAACATTTGGTTTAGATTACCTCAACTGCTGCTCTGACCAAAAAGCAAAATGAATCAGACCATCAAAACAGAGCCTTGAATTTAGTTAAATCTTCCTTCAACACTCCAAAATAATTAAACCTAAGTTGGCTCTGTCTATTCTGTGCAGACTTTTTTGGATAGTCAAACATATTTCAAAAAAGTGTTAACAGTAAAATTTTGTTTAAAACCTAAATATACAGGGAAAAACAGAAAGATTTGAAGAATTGCTGTGCTTCTTAGTGTATGGCACCTAAAACATTAGTCAAGGTTTTGTTGTTTAAACAGTACCAAGCTCTATCAGTTTTGGGATTTAAAGTCCATTAAACATCTGGAATCTACCCAAGTAATGATTAAACCAATGCTTCAATGCCAGCTGTAGTTTTAATATAGTAATGGTGGTGAAAAGCACAGGCAGTCTTTTCACCACCATTTAAAATTATGAATTACCAGTATGAGTTGTCTAAACTTTGGTCTAGGGACGTTCCGATCCGATATCAGTGTGTGTATATATATATCTATATATATATAGATATATATATATAGATATATATATATATATATATACACTGCCTGATCAAAAAAAAAAAAGTTGCCACCTGGATTCAACTAAGCAAATTGGTACGAGCCTCCTATTGGATAATTACTGCATGGGCGATTATCTTCCAGCTAACAACAAGTTATTTAACGCCAACTGGTGCATTGACTTGCTTCTCATTTCCTAAACAACCATGTCGAAAGACGCATCCCGTGGTCTTGGAAAAGATATTAGTCTGTTTAAGAAGGGTCAAATCATTGGCATGCATCAAGAAGAGAAAACATCTAAAGAGATTGCAGAAACTACTAAAATTGGGTTAAGAACTGTCCAACGCATTATTAAAAACTGGAAGGATAGTGGGGACCCATTAGCTTCAAGGAAGAAATGTGGCTGGAAAAAAATCCTGAATGATCATGATCGGCGATCACCTAAAGGTGTGGTGAGATCAAATCGAAGAAAAACAACAGTAGAACTCAGGGCTATGTTTAATACTGAAAGTAAGAGTATTTCCACATGCACAATGCAAAGGGAACTCAAGGGATTGGGACTGAACAGCTGTGTAGCCGTAAGAAAACCACTAATCAGTGAGGCTAACCAGAAAAAAAAGGCTTCAATTTGCTAGGGAGCATAAAGATTGGACTGTGGAGCAATGGAAGAAAATCATGTGGTCTGATGAGTCCAGATTTACAATGTTCCAGAGTGATGGGCCAATCAGGGTAAGAAGAGAGGCAGGTAAAGTGATGCACCCACCATGCCTAGTGCCTACTGTACAAGCCTGTGGGGGCGGTGTTACGATCTGGGGTTGCTGCAGTTGGTCAGGTCTAGGTTCAGCAACAGTATGTGCTCAAAGAATGAGGTCAACTGACTACCTGAATATACTGAATGACCTGGTTATTCCAAAAATGAACTTTTTCTTCCCTGATGGCACAGGCATATTCCAAGATGACAATGCCAGGATTCATCAAATTGTGAAAGATTGGTTCAGGGAGCATGACACATCATTTTCACACATGGATTGGCCACCACAGAGTCCAGACCTCAACCCCGTTGAAAATCTTTGGGATGTGCTAGAGAGGGCTTTGCGCAGCGGTCAGACTCTACCATCATCAATGCAAGAACTTGGTGAAAAATCAATGCAACACTGGATGGAAATAAATCTTTTGACATTGCAGAAGCTTATCGAAACAATGCCACAGCGAATGCATGCCGTAATCAAAGCAAAAGTCGGTCCAACAAAATATTAGAGTGACCTTTTTTTTTTGGTGGTGACTTTTTTTTTGGCCAGGCAGTGTGTATATATAAATATTTATAAATCTATATATACACTATATTGCCAAAAGTATTTGCTCACCTGCCTTGACTCACATATGAGCTTAAGTGACATCCCGTTCCTAATCCATAGGGTTCAATATGACGTCGGTCCACCCTTTGCAGCTAGAACAGCTTCAACTCTTCTGGGAAGGCTGTCCACAAGGTTTAGGAGTGTGTTTATGGGAATTTTTGACCATTCTTCCAGAAGCGCATTTGTGAGGTCGCACACTGATGTTGGACGAGAAGGCCTGGCTCTCAGTCTCCGCTCTAATTCATCCCAAAGGTGTTCTATCGGGTTGAGGTCAGGACTCTGTGCAGGCCAGTCAAGTTCATCCACACCAGACTCTGTCATCCATGTCTTTATGGACCTTGCTTTGTGCACTGGTGCACAGTCATGTTGGAAGAGGAAGGGGCCAGCTCCAAACTGTTCCCACAAAGTTGGGAGCATGGAATTGTCCAAAATGTCTTGGTATGCTGAAGCATTCAGAGTTCCTTTCACTGGAACTAAGGGGCCAAGCCCAGCTCCTGAAAAACAACCCCACACCATAATCCCCCCTCCACCAAACTTTACACTTGGCACAATGCAGTCAGACAAGTACCGTTCTCCTGGCAACCGCCAAACCCAGACCCGTCCATCAGATTGCCAGATGGAGAAGCGCGATTCGTCACTCCAGAGAACGCGTCTCCACTGCTCTAGAGTCCAGTGGCGGCGTGCTTTACACCACCGCATCCGACGCTTTGCATTGCACTTGGTGATGTATGGCTTGGATG